GAGGCCTTGGTGGGAATATAATAACTATAACAGGACCAGCTCGCACATTATTAAGGCAGCAACAGAAATTAACAGATACAACCTAACCCAAACAGACTGGAAATGCAACTAAATCTTGCGGTTTAAACATGTAATGCGACAAGAAAAATAAAGAGGTAGAAAGAGAGAACAGCGAGAGAACAATAACTTGGTAGAAGCGACCAGTTAGGCCGCACACGTAAAGAAAATATGAAAATAAATAAACCGTCAAAGCTTAAGGGCAACTATTGCACGTCGATATGTTAAGAAATGCTGAATAGAGCCTGTGAAGAGTAGAGCCTGTGAAGAATAGAGCATGTGAAGAGTAGAGCATGTGAAGAATAGAGCCTGTGAAGAGTAGAGCCTGTGAAGAGTAGAGCCTGTGAAGAGTAGAGCCTGTGAAGTATAGAGCATGTGAAGAATAGAGCCTGTGAAGAGTAGAGCCTGTGAAGAGTAGAGCCTGTGAAGTATAGAGCATGTGAAGAATAGAGCCTGTGAAGAGTAGAGCACGTGAAGAATAGAGGTTCCACAGGCACACTCAGAGAACATTGTATGAACATTATAGAGGTCTACTGCTGTTCAATATCCTCCCAGCAAACGTTAAACAATATTCCCAGAACGAAATTGAACGTGTTCAAGACACAAAATTGGATTCGTTCCTGCAGTAAGTGCCGGACCAACAGGGTTGTAGTGGACACGTATGCCTCCGGTCCGCTCCAAACAACAGTGTGTAATTGACCCTACTTATCACACGTCAAGTCTGCTCCCAGAATGGGCTTGTCTGGAGCAAGCCTGGAGAGTTTCTCGGGAGTGCTTCTACTCCCCAAACCTGGCATTGAGGCCAGGCTGGACTTTGTGATAACTTGCTTCAATAGGCTGTTGCTTGGAGCGGCCCGCAGGCCCACATATCCACTACAGCCTGGTTCGTCCGGCACTTCTTGCAATAACTTGTCTAAATGCCTCTTGAATACATCCACCTTTGTTCCTGCAATATTACTAAGGCTTGCTGGGAGGTCTTGCGGAGTAGTGAAACATCTAGAACCCACTCCAGGTATGCTCCAGGTAAGCTCCAGGTATACTCCAGGTATAAACATATAACGGGTATGTCGCACCAACAAGGGACGCCAACTTGGAGAGTTAGAATCATGTCACGATAACGATGCGTAAAATTCTCACAGGAATTGATAAAGTCAACAGTGAACATGTCCAGAGAAGGTGAGGTAGGAGGAGGAAGACATGCGAGCACAGGCATGTTGGGACATTTTAGTGTGAGGAAAGTGAGCAGATGCAAATAGATTTAAGGAAGAGAGAGAGAGAGAGTAGAAGGTAATGCAATAACTACTACCAAAAGTGTATGGCAACAAGCAGGGGAGTCGGGAGTCACTGCTTTCAACAACCGTTAGCTGATATGATGTGGCTAAGGTAAGGTAAGGTAAGGTAAGGTAAGGTAAGGTGGCCTTAACTTACCTTAATAAATCCTTTCTCCTAATACAGGTCATTATCAGGAAAAAGCAATAAGCCATTACGATTATACAGCACATGGAAATGATATGAGGATTTAGGATAGGACGAAGGGAAGGAATGGTACCCAACCGCCTGGACGGTCGGGGATTGAACGCCGACCTGCAAGAAGCGAGACCGTCGCTCTAATGGAAATACACTTATGTGAGCACACAGATCGGCACAAAGTGAACGTTGGAACGTGCCAGTGAAATTAAATAATAAACCAAAATCTTCAGTGTGGTGGGAGTGAGCAAGTGGGACACACTGAAGTGAAGATGTGGCTGACAGCCTCTGCACTCACCTACTTGTGCTTGCGGGGGTTGAGCTTCGGCTCTTTGGTCCCGCCTCTCAACTGTCAATCAACCGGTCCAATCAAATGTACGTGAGTGTGTGAATATCATAAACACCAAGAGGTTTGGAGTCCACTCCAGATGATTCATGGCAAGATGGGGCCCAGGAACAGTAGTTCACTCCTTGGAAGCATATTTAGGTGAGTACACACGCTCGTGCACGTACAAGAGTAGTGGAAACCAGGACATGTAGCGAGGTGGTGTGGAGGCTGGAGTGAAGCAGTCTTGTACCTGTGTCTGCATCACCAGACTAGAGAAGACGCCAGTCAGGAAGACAAGATGGACAAATGATAGGGCCAGAATGAGAGATATACATTGAGAGAGAGAGAGAGAGAGAGAGAGAGAGAGAGAGAGAGAGAGAGAGAGAGAGAGAGAGAGAGAGAGAGAGAGAGAGAGAGAGAGAGAGAGAGAGAGAGAGAACAAAGGGAAGAGTGTGATGAAGAGGGTGTATGCGCACTGAAGGAAAGAAAGAGATAAGACATGATGAAGTAAGAACATAAATAGAACAGACGCGGCAGTTCCGTCCCGTGAGGGAATGGGGTGTGGGTGGGGGGAGTGGGAGGGGATGAGGGAGGGGGGTGTAGGAGTGGGTGTGGGAGGGGGTGAGGGATGGGGTGAAGGCGATGGGGAGACGGAGATTCAAAGGAAGATTAAGATTACGGCCGGGTTTGAACCCTGGGCAGGGAGGAATGAGTGAGCCCTGATCCTTAACTGTTCTCCCCTGTTCACTCAGCATTTATTACTGACCTGGTTGTAAACCGACTGCCGAGTCGCGTTCCAGAAAAAAATGATAAGAGTAAGGCTTAAGATGTGGCCAGAGAGCACAAACAGGAACCTGCTAACAGGAGTCAGAATTCATCTGCTCCTTCTCCCACTTATGTAAAATTAAAAGAGAGAGAGAGAGAGAGAGAGAGAGAGAGAGAGAGAGAGAGAGAGAGAGAGAGAGAGAGAGAGAGAGAGAGAGAGCGAGAGAGCGAGAGAGAGAGAGAGAGAGAGAGAGAGAGAGAGAGAGAGAGAGAGAGAGAGAGAGAGAGGGGGAGAGCAAGAGGTGGAATAAATTCGTCAATCGCATCTCTCCCCTCCATCGTGCTGTCATCCGCATAATTACAAGCAGAAAATAAACATTTAAACTCGCTTCCTTGTGAGTAATTAAGAAAACTTTGCTGAGCTGCGTAATTAAGAAAAAAAATATATTAAAATTTTTTTTACTAAGTCACTTTGAAAGATTTTTCCGAAGATCTTCAGCAAAGGAGGTATTGGAACCTTTGACGAGGCAGCCAATGCTTCAGAAGCGGCCAATCTGAATCATCACGTGTTATCTCGCTTGATTTTAATTGGCTGAATGAAGAATTTTCTTCGTCGTCGCTCGGGAGTTTTCTCCAAAATGGCGGCTGAGAGTTCATAAACTTTTCAAATGTCAGAGGGATAAAGGAACAAATGAGAAGAGGAATAAATGGGAGTAATTAAGAAGATAAGGGATAATAAAGGCTGGATAAGGAGGGCAGCTCGTCAAGTCTTCGAGGATTACGATCAGGTTGACAGTCTGGAGATGGTGGTCAGACGCTCCGGGAGTTCTCTTGAGCATATTGGTCTCGACGAAGATAATTTTCCTCCTCTGCTTTTCCCCGTCTTCTCTAACAGGAAACAGAATTATGTTGCGTTAATCAAAATTCGGTTAATCAGAGTTGGGCTTCGTTAATACATGTGACGTCACCATAGTAGCGTAAACAATAAGTATTTTTTTTGAGAGAGATATTTTTGAGATATATACAAGAGTTGTTACATTCTTGTAGAGCCACTAGTACGCGTAGCGTTTCGGGCAGGTCCCTGGAATACGACACCCGCCGCGAAGAATCGTTGTTACAACCAAGTACACATTTTACTGTTGCGTTAAACAGAGGCTACAGTTAAGGATTTGCGCCCAGTAAATCCTCCCCGGCCTGGATACGAACCCATGACAAAGCGCTCGAGGAACGCCAGGAGAGTGTCTTACCACTACACCACGGCAACTTTTGTGTTTTTTTTGGTATGAAAAGGTAATTAACATCCCTCGGTGACCTTCTTAGGATGCAGACTTCAATAACTGCTCATCTCTCGGGTATCTAATTTATTGCTAGGTGAACAGCTGTATCAGGTAAAAGGAAACGTACCCAACCGTATCTGTTTCGGCCGGGAATCGAACCCGGAGTCCACGATTGCGAGTCTAGGACATGGACCAATATACCGCAGACCCTGAGAGGGAACTCAGTACCAGATGACAAAGGGAAACAAAAATATAAGCGCGTTCAAAGTTTTTTTTTTTTTTAAATTAATGGGACAGTTTTATGTTGGATTGATATCGAGGTAAAAATGTACAAGCGTTCCAAAATATGTTTAAATATATGAAACAAACATGTTTGTT